AATCATCATGTTATTAAAAACTTTGTAAATTCCAAGAAAAAATAATAATTATATTTATTTTTTTATTATAAATTTATTAGAATGAATCAGAGACGAAGATTTTTCGGACTCCACTCGAGCTTCTCATAATTCCTAATAACCCAAACAAAAGAACGCATCTTAATTGAATGATCTGGCCATCCAAATGTCCTTCTTTCTCTCTGTTCATTTTTCTTTTGACTTACTCCTCTCGTTCTCCAGAGCCTGGAGAAGTAGGTTATGAATATAGCAAGTGAGAGAGTGGCGTAGATATTTCAATTTTAAAGTTTCTCACTATTTTACAGCTCAGCCTCCGATTAGACCAACTAATTCCTAGCCTCCGCCACATCGTCTCCATTAGAATCTCTTCCAATATATTATTCTCTGTGAATATGCTCACACTATGGCACAACTCGTGAGCGTTCGACTCTATTTCTTTCCCAACAAATTAGAGAGCTTGACTCGTATCGTCCTGCAGCATCACAGTGCCCATAGAATAAAAATCTAACTTGGATTTTCACATTTTTAATACAAATCTCATTACTTTCTACCTCATTCACATTCTAAACTCAATATACAATCAACTAAAATTGTGATTAGTTTTAAAAAAATATCTTTATTTGAAACAATATTACAGGTTGAGCCGCACAAAGAGGTAACCAATACAAATTATTCCTACACTCTAATTTGAAAAAAAAACTTATGCAATAGTTTTGCAATCACATATTAACTAATATTATCTTGGAAAAAAACATATTTTTACTCATTTAACTAATAATTGGATTAACTCTTCATTACCACCCTTTTTGAGATATCACTTTCTTCAAGTTGTCTTGGTTTGCTATGTCCTTCTAGATGATGGTGTGTATTTATATTCTGCTTTCTATCGTGATTCTCCCTATTGATTATGCCATAATTCAGAATTCTTCAATTGGATTACAAGGAAATGTTTTTTGAAAAGCATTAGTGTTTTCTAATCTTAAAAATTTGTCTATGAGATATTTTTGGCATTCGATGTGTTATGAAAGTAAGATAGACCATGTTTTGATTAGGGAATATCTTTTATCTATGATTGGTTTGCTATCAGAGTAGGATTTAACTCAATAGGATTCAATAAATTTATACATAAATTATATAGTTGAGCTTAATTCTGAGAGGATTAAATGATAAATTATTCTTACATGACAATTTAAAATTTTGCAAAATTAGGATAATTATCCAAAATTTGTTTTTGGATTTGAGATTTGTAAAAGAGATGGAGAAATTCAATAAATCATGTGAATGACACCTTTAACATTGTCTGAATTTAATATATAATGGGATGAAATAAGATTTATTGAAATAATAAATGTGCTAATTATGGATTAGCACACTAATAAGGTTATGCAATGCAACACATGCAACCCAAATATTATGGGATACAATTCAGATTTTATGTTGGTCTTGTTGAAAAACTAATTTTAATTTTATTTGTTTTCTCAATTATGTTATTTTTCAATTTCTCATTTTGTTTGGCATAGTTATTTAAGATAATAAAGGAAAAGGAGGCAGCCTTACTTATTTTGGATAAATTTGTTTATTGATTTTTAAATTAGCAGGGCCTCTAATCAGATTGTTAAGAACAATTGATATAGATGAAAAGACTTCACTTGGATACCTTTATGCTGATATGTACATACCTAAAAAAAATATTAAAGAGCATGTTTAGAAACATAAAGATAATATACGAGCCCTTCAGTACTAGTATCATAAAGAGAATATTTGATAATCGGTTAAGATAAGAGATACATTCAATAACTTTTTTTTTCTCAACCCTTATTTTCAGTATGAATGAGAAAATTATTGCAACAATGCTAAAGAAATGTAAAGGGTAATTGAATTGTTTGACAATAAAGATATTTGTGTTAAACTATCTTTGGCAGTGAATGACGTGAGACTTTTTTGTGATAATTTAGAAAGTTTTGGGAAGACAATTGCATTATCATAGGTTAAAAAAAATGCAACCTAGTACGAAAGTAAAATTTAAGATTGCATTTTAATATTTACTTAAGCTATGATATTTTTGTTTGCATCAAACACATTTGAATAAACCAATGTTGATTTGTAGCTGAATGGTGGAAGATGTTCCATCTAGTGCACTAAATCTACAAAAAGTATTTGTTTGACTTTTTAGTCAAATATCATCTTCATCAAATTGTAAAAAGAACTGAAATGTGTTTGAGTAGATTCATATTAAAAGATGAAATCATATTGAGCACTAATAGCTAAATGATCTAGTATATATTCGCTATATTCTAAATTTAAGGAATATGTACTATATGTAACTACATTTAAACATTTTTTTAAATAATGATGCACAACATATTCATAAAATTTTTAACATAATTATGTAGGTTGTAGCTTAAAAAAATGAGTTATGATCATTTGTACTACGCAATACTGAACTTGTTGATTTTTTTATGCTTGATGATGAGTCAACTCCATAATTGCATTTAGAAGGCTTGGAGGAGGGAATTTATAAAGAGGATGCAATTCTTATAGACATGGAACAAAATATAGCATCCATTGGATCAACCCCAAGTAAGATTGTACATTAACTTATATCATTCGATTGTAATAAATATAGATTTATTATTTCACATTAATGATTTGCATATGAAAATAACTTAGTTCATATAGGTAATGGAGGTGAAAATATTTCCAGAGAGGATGCTAAACCATTTGGGGTGGAAGATTTCAACAAATGAGGATTTGTAGATATGTCATTTGATCACACAAATTTAGGGGATGATTATTAGATGCACTAGTAGTGTTTCGATATTGAGGTTTTTTTTTTTTAATGTTAATTGATATAAACAATTGAATGAGAACTATTATTTTTTTTTATCTTTGTGATATGGATTTGTGATTTTATTGTCTTAAAATTTTTTATAATATAAGAGCAATTTGATTATTATGCTTCAATTTATGTTACTTGTGTTACACAACATTTATTGAGAATCATTTCCTTTGCTTATTTCATTTTTAACAATTTCACATGCTAGAAAAAGAGAAGTGAATATTTCATGAAAAATTTATATATTAACTTGTGAAGAATATATCAGTTACTTAATACTTCGTTTATTATGTTTAATTAGTAGTAACATTTATTATGTGATTGCATCAATATAGATAAATTATAATATATTTAAGTAAAAATACTATTTATTGTATCATCTAGTTCAACCCTAATTTGACCCTTGTTGAACCATCAAATCTGAACATCTTCTCCCTTTTAATGGTACAAGAAGTATGTACCATGCGCTCTACTAGGGTTTCTCCCCCCCGCGGCGATTTGGGTTTTCCGCTTGTGGTCGCACCTTCCACCACCTCCTCTTCGGGCAGGGAAGTGATCTTGTGCCTTCATTATTCCTTTTTTGTGTTTTTGCGTCTATTTTTTTCGATGGCCGGTTCGAAGTTGCTCAATGCCGGTTTTCTTGCGGGTAATTCTTCTTCTAAGTCTTTTAAAGATGCTCTCTCGGGTAACGCTTCTTCCTTCCTTGATTTGAAGAGTTCTTCTCATCATGTGATGCCTTGTGGATTTCTAAGGCTGAGGTGCTTTCTCTAGCCGCTACGTTTGAGTTCGTGTTTGTTGGAAAGTTTCCATCCCACCGGCCATCCCTTGATGCTATTAGGATTTTTTTTCAATCTTAAACTCAATGACGATTTTTCTGTTACTGTGCTCAATGCAAAGAATGTCTTGATTAAACAAGAGAACAATTTGGATTATTGTCATATTTTTGCGCATCGTTCCTGTTTTATTAACAATTGCTATATGCGATTGATCAAGTGATCGCCTTCGTTTGATGTGGATGTTGAATTTCCTATTGTCCATGTTTGGGTGTCTTTCCCGAATTTGCGTCCCCATCTATTCTCTCCTAGAATCTACCGTACGGTTTGGCCTCGACTGAACTGCATGGTGTGGTCATTGAACAGTTTGCTTCTTCCGTCTCCCATATTCATGTTTATCAGCTGGTGGGTGTTCCATGAATCATGATGTTGTTTCCTCCTTAATGGCTTGGAGGGCAATGTCAATTTAGTTAATATCCCTATTTCAGTAATGTCTAAAGCGAAAATGAAAGAGCATGTGTCTAAGTCTATGAAAAACTCTATTTTGGTTCATAATGACTGGTTTATTTTAGAAGATTATTCTTCTCCTTCTAGTGGAGAAGAATATGAGTATTAATAAATTGAGAAGGACTGTTCTGCTATGCGTGGTGCCCTTAATGTGAATGACAATATGAAAAAAAAAGGCAGGAAGAAATAGGTGTTCTATTTTGGCTCTGCGATTAAGTTGGTGCATTTTGTTGGTTTGTTGGATGATGATGAGGAGGCCCATACTGCCCATTGTTGGCTGAGCTGGCTGGCAACCTGGGTGTTTTGGCTTTGATTTTGCGATTGTTTTCTGTCACCTACGAATGATATGTGTTTGACTTCTAGGCTGGTGATGAAGGCCTCCTTAGGCTGGTGATGGGGGCCTCCTTTCCTGAGTCTCCTTTCGTTGTTTTTCCCTATTTGTTTGATTTTTTTGGGATTTTATTGTTCTGTATTTTGGGCTGTTGGTCATTTGCTGTTGTACCTCTCTTTTTATTTATCAATGAATGAATCTTTTTTGTTAAAAAAAATCGTGAACATCTTCTTCTTCTTCCGGTTATTTATCCGGCCCAATTTTCACAACTTTGATAAAATATATTAAAATAATACTTAAGTAAATAAATAAATAATTTATTTTATAAATAAATAATAAAATAATTAATTATTTAAATAATAAATAAATAATTATTAATATAATTAGTAATAAAGTACTTAATAAGATAAATTTACATAAGTAATTAGATAACTAGAAAAGTAGTAATTAGATCATTTTAGTATTTAACACTCACCGTATTTACTAAATCTGGATTACTAATCCTGTTTGTTACCAAAGCGCTAAACGAAAACAAACAATTTACTTTACCAACCCCAATCTTCTCATGCGGGAGAGATCATTCGGACCACGCTCGGCTTGCTTTTTTCCTTCCATCGATTACCTCCTCTTTCATCATCACCACCGCCACCATCACCACCACCACCACTGCCATCATCATTCATGTACCTTCATCCCCCCTTCTCCGGAATGATGAATTCTTCCTTCTCAAGAAACGCACCCCCAATCATGTCATCTCTAGTTCTGCTACTCAGCCTCTTTATCTCCTCCTTCCTCCCCGCCCCCTCTCCTTCACCACCCACCCGAAATACTATTAACCCTAATGGCATTCTTCCCCATCCTCTTTTTCTTCTCACTCCTCCCCTTCACATCCTCCGAACCCCTACCAGGCTTCCTCAGCCTCTCCTGCGGCGGTTCCACCCCTTTCACCGATTCCTTCAACCTCTCCTGGGTACCCGACTCTCCCTACATCAACCTCGGACGCGCTGTCCCCTCGCTTCCGCTCCGCTTCTTCGCCGAACCCTACTCTGCCCGCAATTGCTACCGCCTCGCTGTCGGAAACCTCTCTCTCGCTCTCATTAGGACCTCCTTCACTTACAACAACTACGACGGTAAGAGGAGCCCACCTGCCTTCGCCGTCTCACTCGGTTCCGCCATGTCTGCAGTCGTCAACCTCTCCCACTCTGATCCCTGGGTGGAGGAGTTTGTGTGGAACGTCGTCGGTGAGACGCTTGCCTTCTGCTTGATACCCATTCCCGGTGCAGGATTCCCGGTTATCTCCTCGCTCGAGGTGCGGCCGCTTCCGGCTGGAGCTTACGGGGCCGGCTCTGAGGAGCTTAGGGATAGTTTACTGAGGAAGAGATATAGAATCAACTGTGGTTATCAAGATAAAGGTCCTCTCAGGTAATGAATTTTGCGATTCTCCAACTTTGAGGATTCTCATACTTAGCTTTTTCGCTGCTGATGCGTGATACTATTGAGTTTTACGAAGCAGGTATCCATTTGATTACTATGATCGGATCTGGGATGAGGACCAGAAGTTCCACCCTTCCCGTTTATCTGGTGCGTTCTATATGCCTCTTGCACTTAAAATTTCATGGCTCAAAGAGAATCCTCCACTTGCCGTTCTTCAGACCGCGAGGGTTCTGGCTAGAAGGAATATTCTGAGCTACCGATTTCCCCTTGAGAACCTTGGAAACTATTATGTGGTTATCTACTTTGCTGGTGTATTGCCTGTGTCTTCCATATTTGATGTTCTGGTTAATGGCAATGTTGTGAAGTTGGATTACCATGTGAGGCATGCGGAGGTGAGTTCTATAGTTTATTTGGCAAAGGCCGTCGACAAGGTCAAGGTTTCGTTTAGGAACGTCAGTTTTTATCCACAAGTGAATGGCTTTGAAATATATGAAGTGGTTAAAATCCCTCCCGAATGCTCCGCAACTACAGGCACTTAATTTATTCTTTGTTATTTGTGGTTGAACAACTTGCAGTGGATGGATTCTGATTCATTTTTGGTTTTGCTGTGGAGCAGTTTCTGCGCTTCAGGTTATACAACAGTCAACTGGATTTGACCTAGGATGGGAAGATGACCCGTGCTCTCCCACTACTTGGAGTCATATTGGTTGCAATGGAAATCTGGTGACTTCACTGTAAGTAACTGTGTTATTGAGATTTGGGATTTAGGATGCATTTATTTTGTATCGTGGTCTATTTAGTTTAGTTTAGGGGTGCACATTAGTCGAGTTGAGCTCGAGCCAGGAGGTGGTCGAGTCGAGCTCAAAATCCGAGCTCGAGCTCGACTCGTCTTCATGTCGAGCGGCTCGCCGAGCTCCGCTGTCGAGCTCGTAGTCGCGTCCGTTGTCGAGCTCCGCCGCCGTCGTCCCAAGCTCGTAGTCTCGTCCGACGTCATCATCCTGAGCTCGTCCATTGTAGTCGCGTCCGTCGTCGTCGTCCTGAGCTCGTCTGCCATCGAGTGCGTAACCGTCGAGTGCTAGTCCGTCGTAGTCGTGCCCGTCGTTATTGTCCTTAGCAAGTCCGCCGTCATCATCCTGAGCTCATCTGTTGTCGTCGTCCTGAATTTGGATTTTTCGCTCACGCTTGGATTTGCCGCCTGCAAGCTTCGTCGTCGAGTGCTCGTTCGTCGTAGTCACGCCCGCCGTCGTTGTCCTGAGCTCATCCGCTGTCGTCGTCCTGAATTTTGATTTCCCGCTCGTGTTTTGGATTTCCCGCTCGCGTTTTGGATTTGCTGCCCGCAAGCTTCGCCGTCGAGTCGAGCAACGACCTATTTGAGCTCGAGCTTGATAAGCCATCGAGCTCGATAAGCTCGACTCATTGAGCCTATTACCGAGTCGAGTCCGAGCTAGCTCGCGAGTCGGCTCGACTCATTTACACCACAAGTTTAGATGTCACGACCAACCCTTCAGGCTGACAAAAAGATGATAATAATCCGATTGGATGAGTGTGAGTTGATAACTTTTGAGTTAATCCAATAGTATTAATCTTCCCGCAACGAAGTATCCACTGAAAATATGATCCTAGCTTCTAAAACTCAATCACATCCAACTATTTATCCACCAAAATATGAGTGAAACAGCTATATAAAAACTAATATTAAAGAGGCGCTGCTATGAAAGTAATTAATTTATAACTTTAGTTACCTTACCAAAATGCTTGAAATGTAAATTTAAAATCTCTCCACTAGAATGTACAATTAGTAACTAGAAATTATCAAAATTAATAGGTGTGAATTTATGAGAAACAAACTCAATAATTGACACCCGTACAAGTATAAGAAGTTATAATATAATATTATTTCTTATTATCATAGCCATTATATCAAAACAATTTGAATTTGTATGATTAATATTATCGTATATGGAAGCAATCATAGCCATTGCCATTATATTAAAACAATTTGAATTTGTATTATAAATATTATCATATATGGAAGCAGTTCATTGGTTATTACCATTCAAGAAAATGTGTGTAAAATGAAGATCGCTGCATTCAAATGTTAAATCATTAATGTGCATGCATACAATAATTATATATATAAAAAATAACTTATCATATATTTATTATTATGTCTTTTATACATAGTTATTTGTGATATCTTGGATAAAAGGAAGGTTTTTGCCCACCTAGTGGAGTCAAATAGCCCATAAAAGAGTCACCCCTCTATCCATTTGTTGACCCAAATAAAAAGCTATAGGAACAAGGTGTTACTACCAACATTCACATTCATAAAGCATGGAAGTATATCTTATATAAATATTATGCTACGTGCAAGATGTAATTACAAAAAATTCTAAATTAATATGATTAAAGACTGTTACTTTTTGAAATAGTCTATTATTTGTATGAAAAAGATTTATTTCATACGAATCAAGCAAATGAACATGTGCATCTCATAAACTTATGCAATGAGTAATATGATAAATCTAGCTAAACATCAAATCATGTCAACATGAATACATGAAATATTATGAATAAATAAAATATATTCTACAATATTCATTAACAAACAAATAAGCCTATAACTAGTGCCAAGGAAAATATCCTTAACAAAGAAGGCTATTTTTATCGCTTAGCAAGTAATGAGTTAATTACTTGATACAATCCACATGTAGTTCGAGATAGTGATTACGACTATGATCTATCTCACTCAAACATATGGTGCTTCATAATGCCCATATTTAATATAGTTCTTCATCAAACATATATTCATTAAAATGCAGCAGCAACAACAACGACCACAAAAGATAAAAAATAAGAATATTTGTTATAAAAATTGATGTAGATGTAAAAATTTTTGATAATTAGAAAAGATGTAAAGAAGCTTGTAAGGAGTCTAAGAAAGAAATATGTGTTGCAAATGTTTTAGCTTTTAATGATTTATATAATAGATTAGATACTAAGGAGGGCGATAAATATATGCATAAGTTAGCCAAAAAAAGAGATAGGCGTAGTAAAGATTTAATTCAAGTGAAGTGTATTAATGATGAAGATCAAAAAGTGCTTTTATTAGAAGAAGATCGTCAACAAAGGTGGATGATATTTTTTGCTAAACTTTTCAATGAAGATTGTGAGAATGCGATTGACTTTAGTGTCCTTAGCACCATATATGAAAATAATTTTTTTATTTTTATCGATGTATTAGTAAAATTGAATATATGAAGTGTAATTTTAGTAATAATAAATCTAGTGGGGGATTGCGATTTTGGGCGATTAAGTCATTAATAAGAGTACACATTATAGATATATTGGATTTATTGTTCAGAGTGATGGTGAAATAAATGGGGATATTTTTAATAGAATTCAAGTTGAATGGTTGAAGTGGAGGAATGCATCGGGATTGTTGTGTGTTAGAAAAGTTCCCCTCAAACTTAAGGGAAAATTCTATAAGATGGTGGTGAGACCTGTAATGCTTTATGTTGCAGAAAGTTGACCATTAAAAGAGAATCATAATATTAAGTAAAGTGTTGCAGAGATGAGGATGCTCAGGTGATGAGTGAATTTACTCTTAGAGACATGATACAAAATGAGTATATACATGAAAATGTTGGAGTAGCTCCAATAGAAGATAAGATCAGAGAGAGTTGCCTTAGATGGTTTGGTCACATAAAATGGCGGCCTTCCGATGACCCGGTTAGGAAAGTTGATGTATTAGATTTGACTTATGTTAAGAAAGGTAGAGGTAGACCTAAAAAGACTTGGTTAGAAAATATTAGAAATTACCTTTCCTTGTTAGATTTAATTGAGAATTTGACTCTTAGTAGGGCAATGGGGAAAAATGATCATGTAGCCGACCCTACATAATTGGATAAAGGCTTGATATTGTTGTTATTGAAATGCAAAAAAAAATAAAATTAAATAAAGCTATGAGGACACAAACAAAGTTATACAACAATCTCAATATTAAAATATTTCTTGAATCAAATATTTTGATACAATTGATTCACCTTTCTAAATTAACTCAATATATATATATCTATTAGTTAATATTAATACAACAATTTCAATATTAAAATATTTCTTGAATAATATATTTTCATACAACTAATTCACCTTTAACTCAATATATATCTATTTGTTAATATTGATATAAAGCCTTGAATAAGAACTAAGTATGACCCAAACTAAAAGTTAAGAATAATGCTCCTTTGTCTTATATTAGATTTTAATTTTAGTATTCTAGAACCAATTAGTCTTATCCTCATCATTTTATGAGACCATCCAATTTAAAATAACTAAGATTAATTTAATCTATAGGAGGCGGAACACAGAGAACCGGCCCAGCCGGTCATCCACTATAGGAGGCGGAACAAAGCCGCCTCCTTTGGCTGTTCCGCCAATGCTGATGGGGCCCGCCCCATCTAATGATTTTTGAAAATTGAATAGAGGAGGAGGGGCTTGGGTTTAGGAGGGAAATTGTATTAGGAAAGTTTGGGTATTAAAGTGCATGAGGGAATTAGGGATGTTTTATGTTTTGATTGATTGAAATTAGGGTTTCTTGGAGGCTTGGGCTCTAGACAATCTTGTCTAGAGATTTGGGAGAGACGATCCTCCTCTCGAATTGAGGATCTCTTGTATATTGCTATTTTATTCATTGTCTAGTGGAATCCAAGTGTGTTTTGAGTTTTCTTCTACAATTTTTCTTTAAATTCTCCACTGTTTTGGCTGTTTAACTACTGTGGACAGCAGTTTTCTTGTTGTGGTACTTTATTTTGGTTAGGTTTGCTTTTGAATACAAGTATTTCCTATCAAATTGGTATCAGAGCATCGTTTTTGGGATCGTTGGCGGCTGAAATCCTGAAATTTCAGTGGGATTTTCATTTCCGGAAAAAGATCTTTGTGATTTTTGGGAAGAACGATGGCCGGGAAGAAGGTAAAAGTCTTGGAAGGTGAAATCAGACAACTGAAATCTGATTTGGAGGGAAGATTTTTCAATTTTCAAAATCAAATTACCTCCAACAATAAAAGGTTGGAGGGGAAGTTCACCGTGATGGAAGAAATGATGAAAAAATTACTTGAAATGAAGACCAATCCAGCGACATCGGAAGTACGAGAGACCACCGACGGCCATGGCATGAGAGGAAATCCGAACCCGTTACGGGGGAGGAGGAATTCGGAAGTGGAGATCCTGGAGGAGGAGAATGACATGCCCCCTCTAAAACCGCTTTCTAGAGAAGAGATGAGTAGGGGATACGACCAATGGGAGGCTGATTTTGTCGGAAGGAGGGAAGAATTCAATCGCCGAGGTGCTGAATTTGAAAGAATCCAGCGTCGAGGTGCTGATTTTGAAGGGGGAAGGGAAGAATTTCATTGCCGAGGTGCTGAATTTGAAAGAATTCAGCGTTGAGGGGTTGTTTTTGAAGGAAGAAGGGAAGAACGTCACCGTCTAGGTGCTGAATTTGAAGGAATTCAGCGTCGAAGTGATGATTTTGAAGGGAGAAGAGGAAAGTATGAAGAGGGATTCGAGTATAATCGTCAGAGGGATGATCGGGACACATGGGGAACTCTTCCCCTTCAAGGAATGGGAGGTTATGGAGGATACCGGGGAAACGGAGGAGACCCTCGGGTGAGGAAGTTGAAGATGCCCGTCTTTGAGGGTGAAGACGGCCATGGCTGGATCTACAAGGTGGAGCGT